TAATCCGGTGCATAGTATTTAATGTTATAATCTAGTTATTAATGTCTTATCTTAGTCCGGTCACCCGTGACCGGGCCTTGCCTGTAGAGGGTTAAAAACTCATTGTTATTTTGATAACTATTTTTAAATCTCTAAACCAAATTTTTGATTCTTTGTATTTTTTTCGGGGTACTTAAATTTTTTTAGCAATGCCTTAGATAAATTGTTATTCAAATAAGTTTTCATTCTCGTTCTGTGTTTTTTGATTAACTGTTATGAATTTATATGCGCCCAGATGTTTCGATATCAATCTAGCACATAATTGTATCATAAAATATTGAATTTTTACAATTTATTAATTTTAAAATTACCTATTTAAACGACTATGCCAAGATTCAGTGATATTAGTAGTGAGCGGCAATTCATATCCAACCCGTCAAGCTACTGACCATAATTTGGATGGATATAACGGGGGTCTTACTTGTGGATTTCGTCCGCGGTTTGTCAATTATTGTGTAATACTGCATAGAACTGTCCGCATCATTAACACGTTGAGTGCCACTGTATTTATGACGCGCACATAGTACGTTTCCGCGCCAAAACTAAGCCGCGACGCTGTCGGTCGACTACGTGTCGACACCGGTTCCGCGCGCCGTGCACCGTGAAATTATTATTTAAATATTATTGTAATAATTATTTCTGCACGAATATATACTATATTATTAAGGTTATTTTTTTAAAAATATTCAATAATTTATTGCGACACTTATTTATTTTAATATTAAAAAAAAAAAAAACAATAAAATGTAATAAATTCAAAATTAATAAAATAAAAATAAAAATCCTTCAAAACAAATACTTGTTAAAACTTGCATAAAGTAATTATAATAAGTATATTATATTTTTATATGGTTTTAAAAATCCTTCAAATGGATACAAAAAATAATTGTATGTTATAAAAACAATAAATAAACAAAACGTAAAATGTAAAATGTTCATAATTTTCTATGGAAGTTTTCAAAGCAAGGATCCAAACATAAACCCGGTTGTGAATCACATTTTTTGCAATAATAAATAGTTTCTTCTCTTTTTCCTGTGGAAGCACACAATCGGCACCTTTTGCGAATGTATCTATTTTTATGATTTTTTTCAACTTTACATGGAAAATGACGTTCGGATATCTGAGGACGAAGTAGTGGTACCGGGTCAGATTTATAAGAAAGTAAAGCTTTTATAACTGATAACCGGTAGTCATATAAATTTATTTTTTTTATATTTGTGCAATAAAGTATATGTGAATTTAATAAACTTATTTGTAAAAAATGAATTGCAATTTTTTTATACCAGCGTAAAGTTTTACGTTCAGCTGGATAATATGACATCATTTGATCTTGGCGATCGATACCTGACATATATTTATTATACTCCGCAATTGCCAACGGTTTGATTTTTTTTTTACCATGTCGATTAGTTGTTTCTACCATTTCATTCTTAAATTTTGAACTTATGCTAAGAACGTCACGCTTGTCCTTCCATTTTACAACACATATTCCATCCTTTGTATACTTGCCAACTGATTCTCCAGGTTTGAGTTTTTTTGTAACAACTTCTTTTGGGTTATCTTTCCTATTACTACGTAGAGTTCCGGTACAATATGTTTTTCTTTTCAATAATTTATGGGCTAGTTGAACGCTGTTGTAATAGTTATCCATAAATAATGAATAGCCTTTGTCAAGATAATTGTCCATTAGTTTTTCCACGAAATATTCGGTATGACTAACTCCGGGCAATACACCAGTACCTTGGCCAGAATAAATCATAATTTGTTGTACAAGTCCTTGGTGTTCAGTTAACATGTACAACTTAACGCCATATTTATGGCGTTTATTTTTTATGTATTGCCTAAATACCAGACGGCCGCGCCAAAGTACCATCGATTCGTCTAATGACAAATTTTCAGAAGGCTGATATATATCTTGCATTCGTTGATTGAAAAAATCCAAAACTTTTTCAACTTTATATATGCGACTGGGTACCTCATCATCAGTTTCGGGATTTTTACAAAAATGTAAAGCGCGCATAATTAACATATACCTATTTCGGCTCATTTTTTCTCGAAAACAGTTTAAATTAAATAGTTCGTCGGTTTTCCAGTAGTCAGACATTTTAGGTAATTTTATTGTGCCCGTGTGTAAAAGCAAGCCAAAAAAAACTTTTAGTTCATTTACATTTGTGTCTACCCATTTTGTTATACGGGATTTATCGCTGGACCTATTCATGTATAAATCTGTTGCATAGTTGTTTGTTTCTCTAACGACGAATTCGAAAAAATCATCGGTCAGTAATAAATTAAAAAAATCTATTGGTTGGTCTCCGTCTGGTCTTATTTTTAACCCAACATTTTCATGAAAATCAATAGTGTCAACATTAGGCGAATGGTCCAACCAATTATAATTTGGAGCCGGAACACGTGTTGTTGGTTGTCTATTCCGAGTTGTGGGTGGAGATATTAGTGGTGGTGATAATGTACCAGTTACACTATTTTCCTCATCTAAAACTAACGGACTTACCTCATCAATAACAGCATCATCTGTATCATTCACATTAATGTCATCGGTATCACCAAAAACCATTTCACCCACAGCATTGTCTGCAGGTTCTTCAAAATCGACATCGTCGTCGGCCGAGTCACCTTCACCCAAATCTGTGTCAGAACTAAGAAGGAAGTCCTCATCAGATGACAAAGGGTTTTCAATTAAATTGAAAATTTCCTGATCGGTCAGTCGTTTTTTTTTTATTGGAGGTGATTTTGATGTACCCGGATTATTGTCCATTTTGTATGAAAAAAGGTAATAATATATCAACTAATAATCTCACAACAATTATCAAAGTGATCGAGTAATACAATGTTGTTTACGTCATGAAAATAATTATATTTATTATAACGAAACCAATAAACAAATTACGAGCACTCCGTTCTAAGGTTAGGTATCAAGTAATGATAATTTTGTCGTAGACAAATGGGTATCAAAATAAATATGTACCTAATAAACAATATGTAAAAATATGAATATAGAGTGTACCATAGTCCGCGAACATGAATATACACTTATTGTTATTATACATCCGAGCAAGATACACCCTGTACATTATTAATATTGGCAATTCCAAACGAAGTAGCTGCTCTCTGGTGGCAAAGATAAGAACCTCTGAAATGTAGGTACTGTATACAGCGTCAAGTGTGAAGTGTGTACTGTACTACTGTGTATTATACTATTATAGAAGTCAATGTTTGTTATTACCTGTCTATTGTTGAATACTGTTTATTTGCGAATTTTTCCTATTTTCCATTTAAGTATTTAACTCTACCTGCTGCCAGTTGCCAGTGAGAAAATTTAAGATATGGCTGATCACAATTATGTTTCAATAAACGAATGTGCAAAGAAATATTGTAAACGATACTGTTGTACTCCACAATGCAAAAATAAACAAATGTAAGTCTACCAAATTTTAGCATAATATTTATTATATTTACATCATACATACATTATATAAAGGTAAAAATCCTTATATAGTTTGA